GAAAGAGAAAGAGGAGAAAAAAGAGAGAGTAAGGAGGCAAAGAGGAGAAAAAAACGAGAAAGAAAGAGAAAGGAGAAAAAGAAAGTAAGAGAGGAGAGAGAGAAAAAGAGACTTTTGACTTTTTTATGAAGGTTTATTAAGGGGAAAAGGGGGTAACAACCCAACAATGTAATAAAACACTGCCTGTGCAGGGACCCAGGTGTAACAGACAGCCTGGGGCTGTGGTCTGCAAGCTCTGCCCTCGCAGTCTAAAAAAAAGCAAAAGCAGCTAGTCCAACAACAGTCTGCTCAGACCCCCAGCGGTACCCGGGGAAAGGGCAAGGAGTACCACAACGCAAGGAGTAAACGGATGCCTCGACGCTGCAGACCGCCCCCTGAATGGCCCAGCGTGCCTGGAAGGCGGGTCCTCTCGGCTGAGGACCACATGTTCAAAGTCCAGTGTTGGGTGCGCCCGGACCAAGAACTGAAAGAGTCTCAGGGCATCATCAGAGCTGGCTCTAGTGAGGCGGTTCCTGTGGATGGCCATCTTAGCCCGACCAAGCCGCCCAATATGGGAGAGAAAACAGATAGGTGGTCTCTGAGAGAGAAAGAGAAAAGAAGAGAGAAAAAGAAAGAAGGAGGAGAGAAAGAAATCGTAGGAAAGAAAAAAGAAAAAAAGACTTGTTTGACTTTCTATAAACGTTTATTAAGGGGCAAAAGAGGGTAGCAATCCCACAACAAAAAACAAAAGATAGCCTATGCAGGGCCCCAGGCTGTGGCCCGCAGGGCCTGCCCTCACAGTCTAAAAACAAAAGCAGCTAGTACAACATCAGCCTGCTCAGACCCCTGTCGTACCCAGGGAAGGGGTGAGCAGTATCACAGTGTGAGAAATAAATGGCTGCCCTCAACGCTGCAGAGCACCCCCTGAATGGCCCCGCACGCCCGGCGTGTGGGTCCTGTCTGCTGGAGGACCGACCGCATGTTCAAATTCCAGTGTCAGGAGTGCCTGGACCAAGAACTGAAAAAGTTGCAGGGCGTCATCAGAAACAGCCCCAGTGAGCCGGTTCCTGCAGCTCTTGAGGATGGCCATCTTGGCCTGACCAAGCAAAAAGTTGGCCAGGCCTCTGCCGCCCAGTATGGGAAAGAAATAGGTAGCCTCCGAGAGGTCCATGTCTAGTGCCTCAAACAAGGTGCTGAGGGCAGCAAAGAGCAGCAGCACCTGGGGACGCCTGCAGAAGGTGTGGAATAAATCCTCTTCTACCTCCGCTGGGCAAAAGGGACAGGCTGCTGATGCAGCCAGGTCCATGTGGCAGACTTGAGTGCTGGTGGCCGGTACTGAAAGTTTCCAGTCCATTTGGTAATGGGTAGCTTATAAAGCATGCACCACCCAGGGCAAGCTGGTGTGAGCACCGGTGCCACTGATAGTTACCGCCATGTTGTGTTGGGGTGAGTGGCAAGGATGCAAGCATGGCGGACACAAACCACCCAAGAGAGAAAAAGAAAGAGGGAGAGAGAAGAAGACTGATGGACAGAGAGGGAAACGGAGAAAGAGAGAGTGGGCGCACCCACATGATCGCCTTGTGTGCAAGAAACTTGAAGCGTAAAACAAATGAACATCCACACTCTGCAACTCTATTGACTAGTGACTCTGCCTGTTCATGTCCTTTCACAGCAGTTGAAGTGAACATTAGCCCACGAAAACTTGTGCTCTCTCTCTATATCTTATTTAGTTAGTCTATAAAGGTGCACCCCTACCTGCCTTCTGACTGGTTGTGGACTAACACAGCTAACTGCCTGTCTCTGCCTCATAGCCTGAAACCAGCAAGCACGCAGAGTCAGTGGGATACCGCCCTGTGTTGTCTTGCATCTTCAGATAACATTTCATCTTTGACATGCTTCTTGTGGAGCAGCCTGCTGTGTGAGAGTTGTGTTTTTTAGTGCTGCCTCTTCCTGACTTGCCCATCATTCACTCCCTTGGCCCCATCCCAGTCTTGGTGACTTTTTCCATCAGGCATTTGGAGAGAGACTACAACTGAAAGCTTTTTGGTTAGTCATTTCCGCTCTATGCATAAGTCCACCTTCTTTTTGTCCACTCAGAGCAAATTAAGTATGTGGGCCTGAGTTATTTGGAATGGCAGAGGGCATTTTTGTAAAATTTTTAATTGCAATTGTGCAGTTGCAGCTGTTGAAAGTAGGGTTTTGGGTCCTTTATTTATTGTCTCTTAATTATGCTTAATCGACTTTGCCCAGTTTACAAGTGTTTTTCCCGGTGTCATAAAATTATCCCAGGATTATAAAGTCTAGTTGGATTCTTTCTGGCTTGTATGTCCTCATAAAGATTCTGCAATCAGAAGGATTCTGCAATCAGAATTAATTCTATTGATGCATACCAGCTTCTAATTCTACATATGTGTTATCTCTGCAATGCTAACGAGTGAAAATCTTGTAAAAATTAGCAGCTTGGAATCTTAATATCCTTGGGAAGCAAATGTATTGAGCAAGTGTTTGGTGCCTTGCATGTTTATAGCTGCATTTAAAGATATGGTAGACTACCTTTTGCAACCCAACCCTTAACTAGTATTCCTCACATGTTCTTAAACTTCCAGCAGTTTGTAGGCTGTAGGCTGCGTTTGCATATTTTAATTAGAGTGATAATTCTGCACATACCTGGCTCTAACAACATACTGTTTCATTGGAATAGTTAAGAAGCACAGTATTAGACGTTACTTTCACGGAAAATTGACTAGAATAGTTACTATTCTGCAATAATTCTGTAATTATTACAGAAATAAATACTAGTCTGTAAATAAATATTCTGTAAATAAATACTATTCTGCAATAATTCTTAGTAGTATAGCTCTAGTGAAACAGTAGCTCTGTCAATCACTTTCCGCCATAGTTAGGGCCTTAGAGAAATATTTAATTATGATAAATCAAAGTTTGAAGTTTTCCCTTTAGAATAGCTTCCTTTGAGTTGTTTTGCTGTAAAACATTCCCAGATTTGAATACATGCATTTATAATGTACACAGTATATTTAAGGAATAAGATATAGCATAAGTTAAATGACACTCTGGTTCAGAAAATGCATGTAGGTGTGTTATCTGTTTTGGATTTTTTTTCTTCTTTTTTTAAGGTTTAAGTTTGACCCATTCAAATGTATTTGGTTATACAAACAAAGGGTTTCAAATTAGCAATGACTCAAAAACTACTGTAACCACTGAGCTCTTTCAAAATTATTGGTCTCTGTGGAGCTGTAAACGTGAGCACAAAGCAATAAGAATGAAATAAATCCATGAAAAAACGCTTAGTTTTTGTCCCAGCTGAGGCTTGAGAAAAGCTGCTTTTTGAGCTTAGATTTGGTACATGAGTGCGTGACAAGAAGTGGACTCCCGAGCTTTCGTCGTGTACTGCACAGTTAGTTTTTCCTCTGGATAAACAGTGTGTTATTCACAGCTCTAGTAGAAAAGCCGTATTATGAAGCATTGTATTACATTATACTTATTGTAGCTTTACTCATAATTTCATATTTTAGCTGTGTAGTAATTTATATGTGATTTACACTAAAGCATTTTGTGTAAGGTGATTCTTTCATGTAATTAGAGTTTTGAAATCTGTCAAAGTAGTAGGTATACCATTTGGAGGAAATATGACCTATTCCACAGTAGTTGCTAGACCACTGAAGCTGTAAAATGTGGATATTTTGGTCCTATTTACATTGCAAATCCTACTGCATGAGGGCACTGACCCACTTAACAGACCCTCTCTGTACTTTTTATTAATTGTGTTTGCAAACTGTGCCAAAGTTTTGCAAAAGTCCAGGCTGCAGTGTGGTTGAGAAATGTACTTAAAACATATTTCAGACTTCTTATTGCAGTATGTTGGGAATAACCTGTTGGGGATAATCTGTTTTGTAAATGAATCGCACAGCATAAAATTCGGTGTGTGGATAGGACAGCCAATAAGCCCTAAATAAAATTATAACACCACAGTGTAAGTTAGAAGAGAAGTTTGGAAGTGGGGAAGAAAAAAGTCTTAGTCATCAAACTCTTTCTCATGATTTATTTTTAAGGGTCAGAGGGGAGTTTTTACAGTCAGAGAATAAGATACACAGGAAAACCTCCCCTGCTGAGGTTTATCCCAATCCTGTGACCCCAGTGTATAAAGCCCAAGCTTTCCAGATATTCTCTTCTTACTCTTTCTTGCTTAGCTGCTCTTTTCCTTTTTTGAGCACCTGAACAAGGAGAGATAAAGCTAGGCTTCAATTAACCAAGAAGATATGCACACTAGTATTTTGCAGTTTTTGAGGTACTTTACCAGGTCCCAGTGGGAGCCAATGATGTTGGATACTGCAGTGAGTGGGAAGGATTTCAAGTTAAAAATATAGCAGATAGGAATTCTAGGGAAGACTTTGCAGGCTCAGACGTCTGGAACAGCTGTTGATTCCCCACTGAAAAGAAAAGGCTGTGCAACAAGATTTGGGAAGGTAGGAAGTGTGACCAGAGTATTAAATAAAAAGGCCATATGATACGAATGGGGTCCAAAACTCAACTTTTTGTTTATAATAAAGAAAATCCTGGTTGCCGGAAAAAAAATGAACTTGTTCCACCACTTTCTTTACTTTTCCTCAGGAGAAAACACGGACTATAACCCAGGTAATAAATCTGTTTTATAGCTCACATGAGACAGGGTGGAGCCACTCCCATTCTTTTCTTCCCAGAAATTGAAATGCACATGAGCTAACACGGGAGATTCTGGGATTTTTGTCCAGCAGATGCACAGCTGGATTCTGCTTTCATTATTTCTCTAAGCCTAATAATTTCTCATTTGATTAGCTGGTGGCTGACAAAGCTATCAGTTTTGTAAGTTCCATACGATAGGTGTGATGTAGAAAAGATATTGTATATAGCACGTACAACTGGTTCAGTTGGTCACAAATTTCTACCTCTACTTCAAAAACAGGTTTTCATTATCACAAATAGAGTTTGAATGATAGAAAAGTGATGATTGGAGAGCTAGGGACTGAGGAATTATATGAACAGATCAGTCCTGTGAATATAATGTTTTATTCCAGCTCACTCAGGAGCATGAATCTTTACAGATAATAAAAAGGCATGTTCCTATCTTAAAGTATTTAAAATTTCATGGCCCAGTACTGCTACCTGAAATAATGAGCTTATTTGTGGAATAAAGTACTACTCTATATGAGTAGAGGAGGGAAAATGGAATTGTAAATTAAAACAGCAAGGATTAGTGGTAAAGGAAGGAAGACATAGGAAAAAGACAAGTGTTTTGTCACTTGAGGCATACTGGTTGCATATGTATATTTTTAACTTACTAAAATGGGGAGATAGTATCAAAGTAACAGCAAAGAGAAGGCCAATGCTGATAGATTGTCCCAAACAACTAAGTTGTGAAGGAGGATTTGTAGGAGATGAATGCAGTTGTATGCTATATGGGGTCAGTGAGGGTTCATCAGTTTTAAGTGCACCGTGGGGAAAAAAAGAAGCATGGAGCTACGTTTGGGGAAAGAAAACCAGTGTAAGCAATAAATGAGCTAAATTGGCTGAGCAGGGCCAAGTGGGAGAATAGGAGACATCTAGAAGAGATTTAGGCGTGGGCAAGGACTGCATAGGGCTTTGAAGGTAAAGATAAGGCATCTGAAATTAAAATTAGAAAGAGAGAGATCCATCACAAGGCTGCCTCTGCCTGGAGCTTATTCTATATTTTATTTTCTAAAAATAAATGAAATATACACATAAAAGAATTATATTTTTCTATTACATATTGCATGTGATCAGGCAGTGCCAGATGACATAGTTGTGTCTGCCCTTGCCATCCAGGTGCACAGGTGTTAGAATTGGTCCTCACTATTGTCCAGTGTGTAGCCATGATAGTTTCATAGTTTCTAGGGTCGGAAGGGACCTAGGCAGATCATCTAGTCCGACCCCCTGCCCTGGTTCCAGACCCTAGCCGCCCTGACCGTGAAGTAGCGCCTCCTGATGTCCAACTTACACCTTCCCTCCGCCAGCTTGTGACCGTTATTCCTGGTCACTCCTGGCGGCGCTCGGGGGAACAGGGACTCCCCCAGTGCCTGTTGATCCCCCCCGACTAGTTTATAGCAGGCCACAAGATCCCCCCTCAGCCTTCTCTTCTGGAGGCTGAACAGGTTCAGGTCCCGTAACCTTTCCTCATAGGACCTGCCCTGCTGTCCCTTGATCATGCGAGTGGCCCTCCTCTGGCCCCTCTCGATGCTGTCCACATCCCTCTTAAAGTGGGGCTCCCAGAACTGGACGCAGTACTCCAGCTGCGGCCTGACCAGTGCCGCATAGAGGGGGAGGATCACCTCCTTGGTCCTGCTTGAAATGCATCTGTGGATGCACGACAAGGTACAGTTGGCCTTCCTAGCCGCCTCCCCACACTGCCTAGCCATGTTCATCTTGGAGTCCATAATGACTCCAGGATCCTTTTCCACCTCCATGCTGACAAGAGGGGAGTTCCCCAGCCTGTAGGTATGGTGCTGGTTGTTCCTCCCTAGGTGCATCACCTTGCACTTGTCTGTGTTGAACCCCATCCTGTTCTCCTCCGCCCATCCTTGTAACCTGTCAAGGTCTGACTGTAGCCTGTTGCTCCCTTCTATTGTGCCCACATCCCCCCACATCTTGGTGTCATCAGCAAATTTGAACAGGGTGCTTTGCACCCCCTCATCCAATGATGACTTTATTTGAATGTGAGCTGGGATGTAGGATGCTGTAGCTCAGTTCCAAATTGTCAGCTGTATTTATTACAAGTGCTCAGTATTATATGTGCTTTTAATTATTGTTGCAAATTTAAACACAAGTTGGCACATCTTTGTGTCCTCCCTTTCTTTCTGAACATTGCTGGACACCATCTCTGTTTCTTCTCAATCAGGGTTTTGAAGAAGATGCAGAACGCAAATGAAATGGAAACCCCTATAAGAAACTTGAAAGAATAAAGTAACTTGCTGCAACAGAGGCCTTAGAAAAAGTGATTTCTACACAAGTCAAGGTCAGCTTTACAGTCTGTTTTGGTGGTACATGGATGGGGAGGGAGTGGTTGTGTAATTATCATGGTATGGCAGAATATGCACATTCTGTTTTTTTGCCCTGCAGTTCTCTGAATAATGGCTGATCAATTCCATTCCTGCAACTAGAAGATTGTAACTTAGTTAAACACTATAAATCCAAATATGCTCTGTGCAGGGAACGTGGCATAAACAGGCAAAAGTGCTGTTAGTTTTCCTTGAGACTGCTCCTGTGGTGATCTCTGCTAAGATTTATAATATTTTGCATGGGGACTTGGTGTTGCTGTGGATGGCTGCATTTGTCTATGTACATCAAGGCTGTGCAAAGCTTTGGGTGCCAATTCGATTTGGAGGAGATTCGGCCTGATTGGGCAGCTGAATCTGAATTGAATCAGGAGACCAATAAAATGGTTCGAATCGATTCAAAGCTCTCCGAATCAATTCAGAAAAGATTCAGAGAGCTTCAGAGACTTGGGCAATCCCTGCTTGCTGCCGCAGGGAGGTGGACCCAGACTCGATGCTGGTAAGTAGGGGGTGGGGGAGGGGACCATGGGGGGGACCCCTGCCAGGCCCCATCCCCTGCCTGCTTCCCCAGCCCCCCTGAGCACCCCCCAACCCCTTCCTGCTCTCCCAGACCCACCTATGGTTGTCCCGCCTGGCCCCAGCTCCCAGCTCTTAAAAAAAATAATAAAGCCCCCATTCATCGGCTGGGGCCCGGGA